ATGCATTCCTTCTTTCATTCGTTCATTCTTTTATTCTTTCATTCTTTCATTCTTTTATTCTTTCTTTTGTATTTTCATTCTTTATTTCGTTCTTTATTTCGTTCTTTCATTCTTTCTTTATTCTTTCTTTCTTTCTTTCATTCTGTGTTTCATTCTTTCTTTCATTCTTTCTTTCATTCTTTTTTGGAATTTTGTTTCATTCTTCCATTCTTTCTTTCTTTACTTCTTTCTTTCATTCTCTCAATTTTCTTTAATTCTTTCATTCTTTTTTCATTCTTATTTGTTCTTTATTTCTTTCATTCATTCATTCATTCATTCTATCCTCTTTCTTTCTTTTTTTCTTTCTTTCTTTCTTTCTTTCTTTCTTTCATTCGTTCTTTTTGCATTCCTTTTTACTTTATTATTCTTTCTTTCATTCATTTTTCATTCATTCTTTTTTCGTCATTCTTTCTTTTCTGCTTTCAATTATATTTCATTCATTCATTCTTTCTTCTTTCTTTGAATTTTTTTTCATTCTTTCTTTCTCTTTTCATTCTTTCTTACTTTCTTTATTCTTTCTTTCATTGATTATTTCTTTCATTCTTTCTTTTTCCTTTTCTTTTATTCTTTATTTCTCTCTTTCTTACATTCTTTCTTTCATTCTTTCTTCTTTCATTCTCTCTTGCTTTCTTTCTTCTTTCCTTCTTACTTTCTTTAATCCATTCTTTCGTTCATTCCCTGTTTCTCTCTTTCTATCATTCTTTCTTTAAGTCCGTATTTCATTCTTTATCATTTCTTTTTTACTTTCTTTATTCTTTCTTTCATTCTTTTTTCATTCCTTCTTTCTTTCATTCTTTCCTTATTTCTTTCTATTTTCTTTCATTCTTTCTTTCATTCATCTTTTATTTTTCATTCTTTCTTTCTTTCTTTATTCTTTTTTTCTTTCATTCTTTCTGTCCTCATTCTTTCTTTCTTTCATTCTTTCATTCTTTCTTTCTTTCGTACTTTGTATTTTCATTATTTCTTATTTTCTTTCTTCTTTCCTTCTTTCTTTCTTTCATTCATTTTTTCTTTCGTTCTTTCTTTCTTTCTTTCATTCTTTCTTTCTTTCGTCCTTTGTATTTTCATTATTTCTTATTTTCTTTCTTCTTTCGTTCTTTCTTTCTTTCATTGATTTTTTCTTTCGTTCTTTCTTTCATTTTTTTTTCATTCTTTCTTTTTTCGTCCTTTTATTTTCATTTTTCTTTTTTTTTCTTTCTTCTTTCTTTCTTTCTTTCTTTCATTCATTTTTTCTTTCGTTTTTTTTTTTCTTTCTTTCTTTCTTTCTTTCTTTTTTTTCGTCCTTTGTATTTTCATTATTTCTTATTTTCTTTCTTTTTTTTCTTTCTTTTTTCATTGTTTTTCTTTCGTTCTTTCTTTCTTTCTTTCTTTCATTCTTTCTTTCTTTCGTCCTTTGTATTTTCATTATTTCTTATTTTCTTTTCTTCTTTCCTTCTTTCTTTCTTTCATTCATTTTTCTTTCGTTCTTTTTTTTCTTTCTTTCATTCTTTTCTTTCTTTCGTCCTTTGTATTTTCATTATTTCTTATTTTCTTTCTTCTTTTCTTTCTTTCTTTCTTTCATTCATTTTTTTCTTTCGTTCTTTCTTTCTTTCTTTCATTCTTTTTTCTTTCGTCCTTTGTATTTTCATTATTTCTTTTTTTTTTTCTTCTTTCTTTCTTTCTTTCTTTCATTTTTCTTTTTTCTTTCTTTCTTTCTTTCTTTCTTTCATTCTTTCTTTCGTCCTTTGTATTTTCATTATTTCTTATTTTCTTTTCTTCTTTCGTTCTTTCTTTTTTCATTGATTTTTTCTTTCGTTCTTTCTTTCTTTCTTTCATTCTTTCTTTCTTTCGTCCTTTGTATTTTCATTATTTCTTATTTTCTTTTTTCTTTCTTCTTTCTTTTCTTTCATTTTTTTTTTTTCGTTTTTCTTTCTTTCTTTCTTTCATTCTTTCTTTCTTTCGTCCTTTGTATTTTCATTATTTCTTATTTTCTTTTCTTCTTTCTTTCTTTCTTTCTTTCATTTTCATTTTTTCTTTCGTTCTTTTCTTTCTTTTCTTTCATTCTTTCTTTCTTTCGTCCTTTGTATTTTCATTATTTCTTATTTTCTTTCTTCTTTCTTTCTTTCTTTCATTCATTTTTTCTTTCGTTCTTTCTTTCTTTCTTTCTTTCTTTCTTTCATTCTTTCTTTCTTTCGTCCTTTGTATTTTCATTATTTCTTATTTTCTTTTTCTTCTTTCTTTCTTTCTTTCATTCATTTTTTCTTTCGTTCTTTCTTTCTTTCTTTCTTTCTTTCATTCTTTCTTTCTTTCGTCCTTTGTATTTTCATTATTTCTTATTTTCTTTCTTCTTTCGTTCTTTCTTTCTTTCATTCATTTTTTCTTTCGTTCTTTCTTTCTTTCATTCTTTCTTTCTTTCGTCCTTTGTATTTTCATTATTTCTTATTTTCTTTCTTCTTTCTTTCTTTCTTTCTTTCATTGATTTTTTCTTTCGTTCTTTCTTTCTTTCTTTCTTTCATTCTTTCTTTCTTTCGTCCTTTGTATTTTCATTATTTCTTATTTTCTTTCTTCTTTCCTTCTTTCTTTCTTTCATTCATTTTTTCTTTCGTTCTTTCTTTCTTTCTTTCATTCTTTCTTTCTTTCGTCCTTTGTATTTTCATTATTTCTTATTTTCTTTCTTCTTTCCTTCTTTCTTTCTTTCATTCATTTTTTCTTTCGTTCTTTCTTTCTTTCTTTCATTCTTTCTTTCTTTCGTCCTTTGTATTTTCATTATTTCTTATTTTCTTTCTTCTTTCTTTCTTTCTTTCTTTCATTCATTTTTTCTTTCATTCTTTCTTTTGTCATTCTTTTGTTTCATTCCTTTTTCTTTCCCGTTTGTGTCTGACTCTCCATTCTCTCATACATTTTTCGTCACACCACTCTCTTTTTCTCTGTCATTCTTTTTACTGTCGCTTTTCTCTCTCCCTCATTTCTTACACCTCGTTCTTTCTCCTTCTGTTCTTCTGTCTCCCTCTCTTTCTCTCTCACTCTTACTCCATCTTTCACTTCATTTTTTATCCATTTTGGCTAATTTTTCTTCTTTCTTTTTTTTTCTTTTTTAATATGTCTGCAGAGATTTTCTTTCGCAATCCATTCTCTTTATTCTTACATTTCATTCACTCTCTCGTTTTCTTCTCTCTCTTCTCTTTCTTCTCACTATTATTTCTTTTTCTTATCTCCTCTTCTTCTCTTCCTCCAGTCTTTACCTTCTCTTTCATCGCGTTCTCACTTTTCTCGTCTCTTTTTTTTTTACTCACTCCCGTCTTCTTTTTATTTCCCCCCTCTTCTCTTCTTCTCTTCCCCCACTTCTCTTTTTACTTTCTCCTCCACTTCTCTATTTGGTTTCTTTCTTCTTCTCTCTCTCTTCTTTTTTCTTTTCTCCTCCCCTTCTCTCTTTGTTCTCTTCCCTTTTTCTTTCTCTTTTATTTGTAGCCCAACTCTTTCCCCCTCTCTCTGCCTCTTAACTTTCTATCTCTTTTCTCTCTCTCTCATTTCTCGCAACTTTCACCTTCTCTTTCTCTATGTTGCTTCTTTTTTTTTTTGTTTGTTTATTTCCTCTCTCCTTCACTTCTCGCTCACTTTTTCTCTCTCTCTCTCTTGTTCCCTGTTTCGCTTTTCTCTCTCTTTGCTCTCTCTTTCTTTTCTCGTAACTCCTCTCTGTTTTTCTTAGTCGCTCTCTTTTCTTTCTCGTGTCCCACTCTCTTTCTCTTTGATCTCATTTTCTCTGCTATGTACGGCATTGTGTTGCAAAAAATGATGACTTTGCGAAAAAGTCGACTAATTCGTATTGCCGAAAAATCGATGACACAAATTCTGACTAACGCCAGAAAAAAAAAAAAAAATGGCGAATCACACAAGACGGAAGCACACGCACAAACAGTCACGCACATACACACAAATATACAAGCGCATATTATTACATCAGTGAGATTTTTGTCTCAGCAACAAATGCCAAAAACATCAAAACCTGGATATAGTTTTTTATCAAACTAAATTTATCAACTGGGCTTAGGCTTAGAAAGAAGATTTTAAAATAAATATTTTATTTTATTCTTTTGTTCTGACCGACTTTAAATATAGCTTGCCACAAAGAAAGCAGTGGTTAGCGATTGGGTTTCATAATAGAAAAACAGGGTTGACGAACAAGGTTCGAATTCCAGTAGAAACTGTTTATTGTTCTTTTTTTTTTAACACGTTGGCTCCGACACGACTCACCAGAGGGTGGCGGTCGTATGTCTGCAAGGCTCACACGACCATCCGGTTGTTTTTTTTTCTAATTTCTTTTCAATGACGATTATTAGGAGTGTAATGCTACGAGAGCATGGTACTCCAGAAGCACATTTTTTTTTCTACAGTGTAACCCGGATATAAGAGAGTTGTCGGGACCGGAGAAGAAGTCTCTTATATCCGGATTTCTCTTATATCCAGGTTTGGTCTATTTTGTTTAGGTAAGTATGGGAACACTTTGGGACCAGAGAAAATCTCTCTTATATCCGGGTTTCTCTTGTATCCGGGTTTGGTCTATTTTGTTTAGGTAAGTATGGGAACACTTTGGGACCAGAGAAAATCTCTCTTATATCCGGGTTTCTCTTATATCCGGGTTTGGTCTATTTTGTTTAGGTAAGTATGGGAACACTTTGGGACCAGAGAAAATCTCTCTTATATCCGGGTTTCTCTTATATCCGGGTTTCTCTATCTGGGTCACACTGTATTTATTTTGTCTTTCCTTTGGGAATTCTATTTTTTTTATTTCGTTCTTTCTTTCTTTCTTTCTTTCTTTCTTTCTTTCTTTCTTTCTTTCATTCTGTCTTTCTTTTTCTTTGATTCTTTCTTTTTTTTTCATTCTTTTTACTTTCTTTCTTTCTTTCTTTCTTTTTTTCATTCTTTTTACTTTCTTTCTTTCTTTTTTTCTTTTTTTTCATTCTTTTTACTTTCTTTCTTTCTTTTTTCATTCTTTTTTCTTTCTTTTTTTTCATTCTTTTACTTTCTTTCTTTTTTTCATTCTTTTTTTTCTTTCTTTTTTCATTCTTTTACTTTTTTCTTTCTTTCTTTCTTTTTTTTCATTCTTTTTACTTTCTTTCTTTTTTTCTTTTTTTTCATTCTTTTTACTTTCTTTCTTTCTTTTTTTTCATTCTTTTTACTTTCTTTCTTTTTTTTTCATTCTTTTTACTTTCTTTCCTTCTTTCTTTTTTTTTCATTCTTTTTACTTTCTTTCTTTCTTTCTTTCTTTTTTTTTTTTTTTCATTCTTTTTACTTTCTTTCTTTCTTTCTTTCAATTTTCTACTTTTCTACTTTTTGGTACCCTTTTTTATTGTTATTTACACAAAGCTGTACCATTCTTTCGTGTGGGTCGTGCGGGACTCTGGGTTGTAAAATGGAACGATGCACCGGTGAGTCATGGGTAATAATTACTACCTATGATATCCTTACCTCATACCGGGTCCAAAATTACCCACATCGTGTTACATTATAATTTTCCATCCCACAAAATGGTTGATATCTAAAAAAAAATCTAAACTAAGTGAGTTTATTTTTTCCAGGTTTTCAGATAAGACGTTTACCCATCTTGACACCATTTGTTATAAGAATCACTGAGAAAACCCTTTGAGTTATTCAGCTAGAAAGAGAACAGATAAAAATTGTTTTGTTTCAGTCCCACTATGTCTTCCTATTGATCAATGGTGAGAGGAAAAGGATCATTAAGAGCCTCAGTAATGGTATCAATATTCACACCCTGGCTTCCATCTTCAAAGTCCATTTAAGAACCATCAAGAGAACGGTGAATATGTTTAAAAAAGAGGGAAAAGTAGAGAGGAAAAGTGGATCAGGAAGTCACAACAGGAAGAGGGATCATCGCTTCAACTTAGAGCTAAATACATTCTTATTGTTCAAAGTAGAGTCCAATAGTGTTATAAAAACCCTGAAGAATTCCAGTAAGATATCTTTAATCATTTCTAAGATACAACGGTTCAAATCTTAATCTAACTATTGAACAATTTTGCTGTTACACGATTTGGACAATTTTGCAGTTACACGATTTGGACAATTTTGCTGTTACACGATTTGGACAATTTTGCAGTTACACGATTTGGACAATTTTGCAGTTACACAATTTTGACAATTTTGCAGTTACACGATTTGGACAATTTTGCAGTTACACAATTTTGACAATTTTGCAGTTACACGATTTGGACAATTTTGCTGTTACACGATTTGGACAATTTTGTTGTTACGCCCGGTGTATGAAACAATGTTAAAACAAAGTCGATTGTACCAAAATTAATTACGATACAGTTTTGGGACCCTAGGACAGCAATGGAAATGAGCCTAGGGAGCCAACGGGCTAACTAAAGTTTAACCAAGCGCTACTGTAGCAATATCAGTTGTCAGCTGTATTGTTAAGGACACACCTGCAGGATGTTGAATAAATAGTTTTGATAATTATCGTCTTGACAACGAAGGACAGCTGAGTGAAGCGGACTTCCCAAGAACTAGATCAACCGACTCTGACAAAGTCGGTCAGCTGAGTGGAGCTGACCTCCCAAGAACTAGGTCAACCTACCCTAAGTAAGAGGGTCAGCTGAGTGAAGCGGACTAAAAAGAATGTCAACAGACCCTGGGTACTTGATAAATGACTGTTTTAGACGAAAGCTGACAGGACAAATGAGGCTTGTCTTTATAAGACTGTGGTTCCTAGCGGCCTATACAAGAAAACCGTTACTTTTCCTCACTTGCCTACAGCCGGAACTTACGAGAAAGTTGCAGCTGAATAGAATTTGATGACTGCTACAATTTAGTTTAATGATTTTTTCCTTGGTAACGACTCGGCCATAGAATTATTTTCTTTGTATTAAGCCACAAGCGTTCTACTAAAAGAATCCTCACCCAAAGAATAAACCTGGTATCTGGTCTGAGCTGCAACGCTACACTACCAGAGTTACAGAATGGGGTATGTGATAGGTGTGAAAGAATAGGTTGTCGGAAGTGAATATTATGAGGATAAGCGGGGTGGATAGTGAATCACCCTTGACTTGAAGTGGTTAACATTGTAGAGTTCAGGGAAGCATCTACACGGGTGCTTGTTCCACAAAGTGGCAGTTGCCGGGGAAAAAAAAAATCTGAGTAGAACTTCTTCCTTACAACTGGAATACGGAGGAAATGTAGGTACTTGGATTCCGTGGACATAGCATGGCTAAGAAGGATTTTTTTCATTATTTTTTCACTCAATACAAAGCCCAATATTTATGTTGTGAGAGAGAATGTTTCCCTATAACTTTGCGCTGTCATTGGACGAAAGACATAAAAATATGCCTACATCAAGAGGAGTAGCAGTAGCAGCAGTACCTCTCGTTGAAAGCAGTCATTCACGGCTAAACATTCTCTTTCCTAGTTTCTATTCAACATTATGTTTCCCTGTACCAAAAGTTAATAAACTCAGTTACAACAATTTGTCTATTAAACAGTATATTTATTTATTTACATCTACCGGCCTGAATATCTACTCAAATATGAGATGTTCTGGGTATGACGATAAACTACATTCGCGTCACGGGTAAGACGATAAATTACAATCAACAGCAAGGCTTCTGATCAAAAGGTTTTGAGGAGCGTGGAACCGTCTCTTAACTGCTGGCGTTCCCAGGTACACCAAGACCCAGGGTGGTAGCACCTGTTATGGACCCAGCTACGGGCAAATAGTTAACTCCAAAATGGGGCCAAAACACGATGAAAGTGTAAAACTAGGTTTTAATACTAGCAATACTTTTTTGAAAAAATTATTACTAGCAATGAATTTTTGAAGGAAATAATTATTACCAGCAATATATTTTTGGAAAAAAAAATATTCCCAGCAATACATTCTTGAGAAAAATGTATTACCAGCAGTACAATAAAATAAAAATAAAATAAAAAATATTACCATGAATACATTTTTTAAAAAATTACCAACAATAAATTAAAAAAAAATTAGCAATACATTTTTGAAAAAAAATACCAGCAATATATTTTAAAAAAATATATTCCCTGCAATAAAAATCTTGTCATTGAGGTTGATCTATGGTAAAACAAAATAACCCAAGACAAACTAAACCAAAGAATACATATTCTATTCATAAGAACCTATCCTAAAAATCGTATCCTCATTAAATAACCCATTGAGGTTGATATGACGTAAAACAAAATAAACCAAACCAATCTAAACCAAAGAATACATATTCTTTTCATACGAACATATCTTAAAAATCTTGTCGGCATTAAATGAAGCACTGAGGTTGATATACCGTAAAACAAAATCAACGAAACCTAACTCAACTAAAGAATACATTTTCTATTCATACGAACCTATCCTAAAAATCTTGTCAGTATTAAATAACCCATTGAGGTGTTGATATCCCGTAAAACAAAACAAAGCAAACTAAACCAATCAAATCTGAGTATCCATTTAAAAAATAACGTTTAAACATGAAATTAAAAATGTGTCGGATTTAATCAATTTCCTAAAAAAAAATGTCTTTCTTTATGTAACAATACGGAACAAAGCAGATATGTATATATCAATAATCAGAAAGATATATGTTCAAAAAAAAATCGGGCTCTATTTGAACAGGAAGTCCTACGTGAACAAATGGTCTAAGGAACGTCAGATCTAATGACTGTTTGCCCTACGGGTCACAGATTCATTTCCTGCCGGAGTGCGCATATTTTTCTACCAAGATTTCTCAAATATTCAGGCCAGTAGATGTAAGTAAATAAATAAATATACTGTGTAATAAATAAATAAAAACAGAGCATCTACTCAAATATGAGTATCCATTTTAAAAAATAACGATTAAACAAATAAATTATATATATATATGTGTGTGTGTGTGTGTAGAGAAAGCGTTAAAGACGCCCTATCGGCTAGTTCCTACTGAAGCCTCTACATTAGACCTTTATCACCATAGGTAAGGAGAAGTAGTTGCGATAGGCAACAATAAACTACAGAACTCAAAATTGATCGCTGCATTTAAGTATTGCATTAATATTTAAGACTACGTCTTAAGAGTTCAACGATAATTCTTCTGCCGCCACGTAATTTAAAGACAATTTGATGTACGTAGGTCTTTACTTTCCGTACTAACAATTGTTTTATTTCCTGTATAACTTTTGCTGAATTTCGCAATTAATTTCGATTATTCCCAAATTTATTCCCAACTTATAAACATTGGTATCGTACAAAAAATTCGTCGCAATAAATAACATAAAAAAATCGCCGAAATGAAAATCACAGTAATGAAAACTTGGGAATCTAAAATTTCATGATTGCGTGTTCGGATCCGGGCCGAAATGTTTTGAATTTGCTCACGGCGTCGGCCTGATTACAAAATGGTATATGTTGGGCTACAGCTTCTAGGAATTAAGTTGAAAACGTGTGACACAATGATACACTGACATTCGCATTTATTATATAGATGTGTGTGTGTGCGGGGTAGTTATTTTGGTTAAGCAAAGTAGATAGTTCTTTTCCTTAGCTAAAACATTGAATGTTAATGACAGTCGGGTGCTGAAATGTTTTCCTTCCGTACAAGGAACATTTAAAATAAATAAAATAAAATATAAATCCGACGTTTATTCGAATTTTGGGAAGTAGGTCGAGCCAGGAAATATAAAACAGCCTACCCTTGTTATGAAAAATGAAAATTGCATGTTTTCCACTTCATTGTAGAATTGTAACTTAATGCACTAAATTCAGCGTATATTTCACTAAATGCTCATTACAGGCGAATCTCAATTTTCACGAGTTTAAATTCCGCAGCTTTGAGCATTTGCTTTTAAATGGGATATTATTATTTTTTTTTTTTTTCCATTTGTGGCCTATTACTAAAAATCGTAGACGACGAAAAATTGGAAAGAAAACCAGAGAAAAAAAAAGTTCTGCAAGTCGTAAGTGCATAAAATATTTGAACAATTATGTCTAAGGCGTTTTTTAGACTTATGTTGACAGACAAATAGACTCTCACTGTAAATGAATCCATTTTTCAATTACAATAATTTAAGCAATATTTTTTCAGCAAATTCATTTTTGTTCTTTTTTATTTCTTGGGAAAGCAATTTTATTTTTGGTTGTTTTTTTTTTTTTTTGTTTTTTTTTTAATTTTTGACAAATAAAATTTAAATGCAACCATGCTTATTATCTTAAGTCCAATGAACGGGTGTGGTTATAGCCTTGCTGCGCAACTGAACACCTGGACAGTCCTTGCCTCCTATCAGCATGGCTGATGCCCAATTCCGCGAGAGCGCCTCTCTCTGCGCCCGCTTGGTCTGACGCTTTCCACTGACCTGAAGTGGAACAACTACATTGAATCAATAGCTTCATCTACCGCAAGGAAAGTTGGTTCTCTGCGTCACAACAGAAGGTTCTTCTCAC